AAGGCTTCAGACTCAGCAGCGGGTTCTCTGGCGTTGATGGCTTCATTGGCTATGCACACTCCATGTTCATTGGCTCCCATTTCTGCCCCCCAAAGCCAGGCAGGTCTGCTTATCACAATGGCATGGGTCCTCAGAACTTGGTCAATAGAAATATAAGTGCACTAAAAAATGAAGACAAGAAAGAAAAGGCCATCACCTGCCACATACCATTTAGTTTTCACCTTAGTATTTATACTGAACCATCATATCTTTACAAACATAACCAAAAAAATAAAAGGCCTTTTGGGAAAAAACACATTTAAAAGTCACCCTAAGTTCCAATGCAACTCGAAGATTTCAGTCTTGCAACCGACTCCGTTTTCAGTCTCTGTGGTTCAGGACAATCTATCCACAGTTCTTGTGCATATGGCAATAGAGTTCTTGAATTAGGTAGTCAGCTAATATTTACCCTGAATATTATTAACACCATTGTGCCTGGTCATTTCAATAGGTACATGTGGCCATCGATCTGCACTTCAAACAAACAGCAGTTATTAATTTGCATTTGTAAAAATAAAACTGCTAGATAGGTAGTTTTCAAGAATTTTAAAGTAATAGAGTCCAATCTTTAAAAGAAGCTTTATGTAGAAGCCCAACATTGAAAGCAGATAAAACTGAAGATGCTTTGTCTGAAAAAGGGGGGCCCCTAAGACATCTGCAATGACCCCTACGGCTCCCTGGAACACAGTTTGACAACCACCAACTTCCCTAATTGCTCTGGTAGCAGAGGAGGAAAAATGATAATAACACTTTCTACTTAACTGCTCCTTGGAAGGAAGGTTGGGTAATCTACTTTCATAGTGATACCTCCTTGGAAACACAAGGAGGGGTCACTATGAGTTGGTTCCAACTCTACGGGAGTGAGTTTGGTTTTGGGTTTTATTTAACTATTGCATGGCAATGCATACTTTCTTACACACTGTGCTTTTTTGACTGTCCCATTTGATTTCCACATGAAAGCCCTGAAGGACCCAGACAACCGCTGTCAGCATGGCAGTACCTGTGACTTACAGTGCATGTCTTACCTTTTCCAGGCTGCTGTGTCTTTACCTGGAAAATGAAAGAGCTAATCTGGATGAAGCTATGTCTTCTAAAGTATTTTTAGTCTCTGAACCTTTCAGCCAAACAGCCTTTCATAAACAGACACCCAACACAATAAAACTGGTCCAAGTCTGTCCAGGCAAAAGGAGGGGATGTGATTGAGGCTAAGGTAGTGGTGACCACTCAGAGTCTTGCCTGCCTATTCATCCTTTCCCCATCCCACATTGTGGCCCACAGAGGACTCCCTTGTATTTCACAAACCGCTAAACTAGGTTATCCACAAGCGGCCTCCAGACTCTGGCATTCTGAGTCTAGGCCATAGACTCTTTGTGTAGAGCTTGCAGTATGGAAATCAGGGCTCTAAATTACATGGCGCTCCTTAGCTCTCAGAGAGAATTCTATCAGCTGCAGCAGCCATTTACATTTTAAATTGAGCAGCTGAAAACTTTGGCTCAACTGCAGCCTTAGATCTTTCTTTGGTTCAACAGCCAGCTACACTGGCTGAATACAAACCAGAAAGTTTTATTCTGCATTGATTTCCCATAATCTCTTGTTGCTATGTTTGTTATTTTCTGTCGAGTCAGACCCGACTCACAGCCACCCCTCCTTGAGTTTCTGAGGCGGTATCACTATGGAAGTAGATTGCCCAACCTTCCTTCCAAGAAGGCTGGTGGGTTTGAACCACCAGCCTTCTGGTTAGCAGTCAAAGGCCTTAGGCACTACGCTACCACAGCTCCATAATCTCTAAAGTCCATGTAAGAGCTAAAATGTGCTCAGTATGCAGTTAATTTGTTAGTTGACTTCCATATCTTCCCTATCAACACTAGACATCATTCTGCACTGGGATAATTTTACTTCACTTGATAAATAAAGTTTGCAAATCAAAAGCTAATTAAGTTCAGAGGTTGTCAAAAGTCCCTTGAATTCTATATGGCAAACTGATAGTAAAATATACTTTTAAGTATTTTCTCATATCAATTCCCCAATGTTATTTACTTAAAAAAAGCTTTGATAAGCGATTCTTACTTTTGGATGTAAAATTAATTTTTCCTGATAAATACATTACTTGTAGTAATAAAAAAGGTTTTTATAATTATGAAATTGTAAATGGACATTTTAGGTAATTTTCTAAAATGTAAAGTACTTAAAATAGTATTCGTATGTATTAGTAGCAGTTTGAAAAAAACCTTTTTCTAAACTCCATGACAATCCAAATACAAATTATTTAATATCTCAGCTGATAATATTTAGAATAAAGTCAGTAAGGTGTTAAAAAGAAGAAGAATCTTTTAGAGCAAAAAGCTGGCATAGCCAAATCACTAAACAATGAAATTAGACTCCTTCGTACTCTTCTAAATGTAATTGAGGCTTGTATTTCAAAACTGCACTCTCACAGAAAAAGTGGTCCAGGCATTGACCAACACGTCCCAAATCCCTGCACCTATGGAGCACCAGGGACCAAGTTTGTCTAGAAAAGAAGAGGAAATAGGGAAGGAATTTCAGTTTCTTAAATACAGATGTATTACTTAAAAAAAAAAAAAAAAATGAAGTTAGAAAACGGATTTATATATTTGTTCTCAAATTTATTTTTATACATTTGTTTCAATTTCACCAATTATTTATACAGCATCAATTACAGACAAGACATTTTGTGTGAAGTGCTGCTAGTGGACAAATCAATGAGGATGTCTAGTCCCAGTCCTTTCAATCTGAAAGGAAAGTGAAGACAAACACGTAAATTACTATATAACCACAAGGCAGACTCCAGTAAGTGTCATCTGTTGAGGCCTGTCTACTTAATAAGCACAGTATATTGCCCCTTCTCCCAGCGTGCACTTCTCATCAGCCTATCTAGCTCTGATTTTTCTTTGTTCCATTCATCCACTTGGAAAATGCTACATCATTGACTTCTTTATCATGCATACTACTTATGCATGCTATCACTCCCAGCTAGAATGTAAGCTTCACTATGGCAGAGAGCTTTGTTTGTTGTTTATTGTTGTTAGGTGCTGTGGAGTCAGTTCCAAATCATTGTGACCCTGTGTACAACAGATTGAAACACTGTCCAATCCTGCACCATCCTCAAAATTGTTGCTATGTTACAGCCCATCGTTGCAGCCACTGTGTCAATCCATCTCATTGAGGATCTTCCTCTTTACCAAGCATCATGTCCTTCTCCAGAGACTGTTCCTTCCTGATAACATGACCAAAGTATGACAAGGTCTCACCTACCTCGTTTCTAAGGAGCATTCTGGCTATACTTCTTCCAAGACAGATTTGTTCGTTCTTCTGGCAACCCATGGTATATTCAGTATTCTTCACTACAATGCAAATGAGTCAAATCTTAAGTCTTCCTTATTCACTATACAGCTTTCACATGCATATAAGGCAACTGAAAATACCATGCCTTGTGTCAGGCACATCTTAGTCTTCAAAGTGACATCTTTGTTCTTTAACACTTTAAGAGGTCTTCTGCAACAGATTTGCCCAATGCATTATGTCCTTTAATTTTTTTTTTTTTGTGAATATATTTGTAGCATAAATACATAAGTAGAAATACCCTCTGTCAAAACTATATATATTTGTGATTGTAGTCCCATTCACCCTCCATTCAGCTTGAATTTCTATCTCCATATCTACTATAGATTATTGTTATTACTGTTATGGCAGAATTGTGTATGTAATAGTATTTACCTTTGTTGCCTTTAACTCTTTTGTTCCTTCCTGTTTCTTCCACTGCCTTGATCATTTGGTACTTACCTCCTCCTTATTGTATGTTGCTTTTCCCTTCACCAAGTTAACACACATCTACCATCTACATGTCATTTGATTTCTTGACTGCTACTTCCATGGGTGTTGATTATGGATCCAAGTAAAAAGAAACACCTAACAACTTCAATCTCTTCTCCATTTATCACAATGTTGCTTACTGGCCCAGTGAAGATTTTTGTTTTATGTTGACGTGTAATCCATACTAAAGACTGTAGTCTTTTGGATCTTCATCACTAAGTGCTTCAAGTCCTCTTTGCTATTAGCAAGCAAGGTTCTATCATCTGCATATCTCAGGTTGTTCATAAGTCCTCCTCCAATCCTGATGCTGTGTTCTTCTTTATATAGTCCAAATATAGATTGAATAAGTATGGTGAAAGGATACAATCCTGGTGTGCACCTTTCTTGATTTTAAACCATGCAGTATCCCCTTGTTCTGTTCACATGACAGTCTCTTGGTCCATGTACAGGTTCCTCATGAGCATAATTAAGTATTCTGGAATTTCCATTCTTCCTAATGTTATCCATAATTTGGTATGATTCACACAGTTGAGTGCCTTTGCACAGTCAATAAAATACAGTTAAACATCTTTCTGATATTCTCCCCTTTCAGCCAAGTTCCATCTAACATCAGCAATGATAGCCTTCATTCCATGCCCTCTTTTGAATCCAGCTTGAACTTCTGGCAGCTCCCTGTCAATGTACTGCTGCAACCATTTTTTAATTATCTTCAGCAAAATTTTACTTGTATGTGACTGATCAATAATTTCCACATTCTATTGGATCACCTTTCTTTGGAAGGGGCATTGATATGGATCTCTTCCAGTCGGTTGGCCAGGTAGCTGTCTTCCAAATTTCTTAGCATAGATGAGTAAGTACTTCTAGCATTGCATCCATTTGTTGAAACATCTCAATGGGTATATTCTGTCAATTCCTGGAGGCTTGTTTTTCACCAATTCCTTCAGTGCACCTTGGAATCCTTCCTTCAATACCATCAATTCTTAATCATATGCTACTTCCTGAAATGGATGAATGTCGACCAATTCATTTTGATACAGTGACTATATTCCTTGCATCTTCTCTTAATGTTTCCTGCATCATTCCTGCATTCTTCAATATTGCAACTTGAAGTTTGAATTTTTTATTCAGTTCTTCTAGCTTGAAAAATGCCAAGCATCTTCTTCCCTTTTGGTTTTCTAACTTCGCATATTTCATTATAATATTTTACTTTGTCTTCTCGAGCCACCCTTTGAAATCCTCTGTTCAGCTCTTTTACTTCATCATTTCTTCCACTCACATTAGCTCCTCTCTA